CACGATTCTGTTTCCAAATTGCCAGTCGTTTTTCTTTTTTTAGTCCAATTTGCTCTATCTCATCCTTGCTGTTGAACCTTATGGGTCTCTCTAAGAACAGACCCAACAAATACCTGTTGCCAACCACATCCCAGATAATGTTCTTAGCTTTGTACCAGTGTCAGTTCATCTGGCTCTCACAAGGCCTTATGAGGTATATACTACTATTAGGGTTTACGTCCAGATGTCTCCTCAAAGTCTCATGCAATCACAGGCAGGACTTTTAGAAGGGGATCAGGGCCTTGCAGCTGACTTGCTGATAGGAGGTGGATCTTGGCTGAGGCAGGCACTGTGGGTACAACCTGAGGGTTACATCTCTGTTCCTGCTCCTCCCTGAATCTCTTTTTCTAGTCTGCCCTGATACAATCAGCTGTTCCTGTACCAGGACCTGTGCCACACCAACCTGCTTTGGAACCAGCTTGCAACTACGGACTGAAGTGGGAACCAAAACAAACCTCTCCTCTCTTAAGTGGTAGGCTTCAGGTTTTTTGTTCCAGTGATGAAGAAAGTGACTAAGATCATCTTTACTACCATTTCATAAAATGAGGAAGCTGAGGCACAGACAGTTGCTAAGATCTGAAATGAGTGGCTGGCAGGTCCCGACTACTTTGTTCTTTTTTCTCTGAGGGATGGTGAAGACCAGTCTGGAAGCTGCTTGTCCTCAAGAAAGCAAGAGAACACAGCAAAATCCCCATGCCCAGCACTGTCCCCAACCCAGTCAGAGTGCCTGTCTTCCCTCGGGGCCTAGTGGACACAATGAGGGCAGCCATGAGTCCTACAAGTTGGCTGACACAGAACAGCAGCATATTGTGTTTGTCCTTTGCTGTTCATTTGATGTCTCCAACACCAGAGGAGCTTGGTCAGAGTCAGCACTGTCACTGTGACTTGTGCCAACTTCTTTAATGTCTGGGGTTTCTGTGGTTTCCATTTTGGCACCATGTCACTTGGCTTTGGTTCCAAGGGATCCTGGGTTTTCATTGTGGATATGACTGTGTGTCTTGCACTATCACACAAACTGGTCTTTTTGAGTTCATACAGTAGGTTGGAAGCCCCTACCACAGTGTCTCCAGAGCCACATAAGCTTTGCCCTCCACACTCATGACAACTTTTTGTTATATCACTTCTCTGAAGTAGCCTCATCTTTCAGGTGGATTCTGAGGCCCTTCCCTACTCTCTGCTCTTCTCCAAGATGGTGTGTGGGTGGTGGTGGTGGTGGGAGATGGGGTCCTTGCTGCATCCATTTTGAGCTGCTGGGATGCTTGTGTGCAGGAGCCCACATGGGTCACTTCAGGAGGCCCTTGGGGCAGCTGGAATCTATGGCTTGGTAAAGGTCCTTCATTCCTTGCCCTTGATGGCCTTGTAGTCCTCACCCAGGTCTGTATTAGTCCAGACTCTCAGCAACATTATGTCCCTCCCACGGGAGCCTCCTAGACACTACCCAGAGGACCCAGGGAACAGGTATACCATGTCAGCTCCAGCTCTGTGGTCACACCCTTCAGGTCCTGCACAGCCTCCCTGGGAGTGCCTTTTCCAAGGTTCCTGAAGGGAGACAGCCCCAGCCCTCTGCATGTGGCTTCACAATTAGCTTACTAGATGCACCTTCTTTGGGCCATGGGCTGAGAACACAGCAAGCACAGCACAGGGTTCTCATCCTGTGTGCCTGTGGCTGGCCTGTGCCCCTCCCCACTTCTATCCTTTCTTCTACTTTCCAAGGTCAGACATGATAAGCTGCCTCTTCCCATCCTTCTCCTGGACAGAGACTTGCTACATTTTCCTCTTCCTTCTGTGATACTACAGGAAGAGCATTTTAATCTAAACTATAGAGACAGCGAGTGCGTGGATCAGCTCATTTCACTTTCTTCATTGCAGCTCAGCACAGTGGGTAACATCCTTCCCATTTGACAAATGAGAAAAATGAGCCTGGATGATATTCCAGGGGTCGTAGAGTAAGTCATCAACTGGGCAAAAACCTGCACTGTGTTTTCTCTTTAAAGGTAGAAAGGCTTGTGCCTTTGTACGCGACTCTGAGGTCTCATCCACCTATAGAAGAGACCTGCCAGCAAGTTCAGGGCCACCTAGAGTGGGGACCTGCACCAGGGGTTGTCTCTGTGGCACTAAACAGAAGACAGTAAGGGGATCATCATGTACAAATGATAGAGCAGAAGTCCTTTTTCTCTTGTGTCAGGACTGAGAGGGATCTGAAGCAGAACTGGAATGATTGCTGTCTTCCACCAAGTCAAAAAAAGAAAACATAGTGAAAGAAAGTCTTGGAGGGCCGGCCAAATAGCTCAGCGGATTAAAGCGCCTGCAAGCAGGTGCAGGGGCCAGGGGTTTGATCCCTGGGTCTGCTGTGCTGGCCCTGTCCCTCGGGGCGCACTGAGATGGCAATTGAGACTGGGCGTGGTGGCGTGCGCCTGTAATCCCAGCACTTGGGAGGCTGTAAACAGGCAGATCACTATGAGTTTGATCTACGCAATAAGACCCTGAACACCCTGTAGGCCCTTCCCTAAAATACAAAAAAAAAAAAAAAAGTCTTGGGGCCACAGTGTTCACCAGCAGGGGGGACAAGTAATGTCCCCAGAAATGTGCGCTATGGACCTAGTGGATCTGAGTTTTTTAAAATGTAAATCTCAGCTTCAAATTCAGCCTTGTTTGGAATTTTAAAGGACTCCAGGTTGTTTAAAGGTTGAGCGGAATTCCTAAGCCTGCTAACTGGTCACAGTCCACTAACTCTCATAATTAGCACGAGACCACTGTATTGTGTAAACGCCACTCGGCATTCAGCAATGACTAACTGCTCCATTTCAGACGTTTACTTAAGAGGGGGGCTTCCACCCACAATCAATGCTTCTGGGAATTTCGCCCATTTAATACTGAGAGACCAGAGCAGAAGGTGAGTGAGGTCCCGAGGCTCCCATTCCTCTTTTCTGTACCCCTACCTCAGCCACAAAATCCCTTCACACTGTGGGTGACTCAGGGCTGACCCTTATCTGCATGACTTCAAGAAAGTCATTTCTGTGCCCCAAGGTGAGTCCTCTGCTGAAACTTGGGGTGGCACTGAGCTAAGCAATTATGGTGGTTTTTTGTTTTGTTTTGTTTTGTTTTAACCTCCATGGCTTTACAACTGAGGGAGATGAAAAGTCTTTTTCTTTATGAAACTCAAATGCATTTATTACTTTGTCCAAACCACAGCAGGAGCCATACTCCTAGCAGGCAGTGGCAAGGGCTCCCATTCCTAGCAGCTGCCGACGTGTTACCTGTCTTTTATTGTAATGGATGAGTGAAAGAAGGGGGCAATTGAGTAAGACCCAGTATTAAAGACATTTAGGGGGAGACATTTAGAAAAGTGGGCAACAACAGCCAACAGCCTGGTTGGAAAGTAAAACTTTGTCAGCAAGCATGTCTGGCTAATGTGTGTGCACAACAGCCATATCCACTACACTTTTAGTTTTTAGGGAGAACATGAGGGATATTTTGGGGGCCAAATGAGCCACACGTAATTGCTGAAATGGTTGCTGAAATGGTAGAGGTTGGATGTGTGCATGTGGAGGGACAGCCAGGAACTCCTCTGTCTACCTGCAGGAAGCAGGGGCCAGAAAGGGCTCCAGGTGTCAGAATGCCCGTCTGATATGTGTGACACCCCCAGCTGAGCCCTGTCTCTATAGGGCCTGACAGCACAGTGCTTTATTTTCCCCTTGAAATGCCCCCCCCCCTTTTTTTTTTCCGGAACCAGGGATTGAACTACCTGCCAGGGAAGCACTTATTCCACTGAACCATCTCCCCAGCCCCTGCCCTTTTTTTGGAACCGGGATCGAACTCATGACCTTGCACTTGCCAAGCAGGCATTTAAGCTGCTGAGCTATCTCCTTAGCCCTGAAATGCCTGCTGGAACCTCCGCACATCTAATTCAATTTCCGAAGCCTCGTTTTCCTCTGCGCTGAGGGCTTGGCCTCCTTCATCCAGCAGCGACCACAGGCTTCCGTCTCACTTTTCGGGGGATTCTGCATATCAAGAATGTAGACCCCAGGCTTTGTCCCCTCCCCTCCACCCCGAGGCCGGAAGCCCTCTTAGGGCAGCGCCCTTGTGGTCTCTTCCACAGGGGTAGCAGCCCGTGCACGGCAGACACCTGACCTCTGACCAAGTAATACGCTATAGATCAGCAGCGACAGACGCGTTCTGGAAGACCACTTTTATGCGGAAATGCATCCCAACCACGCTCCCTGCCCCCTTTATACGCTTCTTTGCAAGGATTGACGATTGTGTGCCGTCCTGGCAATGCGCCTGTGCTATGGCACATGTGTCCCTCTAACCTGTCCCCTGAGATGCAGCGTTCTGCCCTCTCACTTTTACAGGGCATCTGCCCTGGTGATCTGGAGGAGCCATAGCTCCTCGAGGGACCGCTGCATCTGGTAGGGCTCCCTCCGCCCCAGTTCTTCACACTCTAACTTAACCAGGCTTGTAGACAAAAGCATTAAGAAATCTTCTTACATTCTCCAGGTGGCAGTGTACATAAGGCTCCTGATACAGCCTCAGGTAATGAACAAGGAGCCTCCCCGCAGAAGGGCAGAGCTGGGGGCCTCACTCCAACCAAGCCACCCTCAGTTTCCCTTGGGTGACTCCCCCTTCTCACCGGGCCCTATCCCCAGCAGGCGGTTGTTCAGGCCACTGTGACCAAGTGCCCGCCTGCCGGGGAACCGTAGGGGGTCTGCACGCCGGAACCCGCTGTGCGTGTGGTGGGGGCGGGGTAAGCCGGGGCTGCGGGCACCTGCGCGGTGGCGTGGGGAGGGGAGCCGGTCGGGGGAGGTGGGGAGGGACAGGAGCAGGTCCAAGTCTCGTCTCGCGGTGCTGGGCTCGGACCCCGGCGCCGGGCGCCGACAAAGGCGGGCGGGAGGAGGGGCGCGGAGGCGGGGACGCGCGGCCGGGAGGAGCGGAGCGCGCCGCGAGCCGGCGCCACCCCCGCCGCTGTCCTTTGTGTGCGCGGCGCGGCGCCGGGCCGCGGGGTCCGGTCCCTCAGCTATGGCCACGCCGGCGGCCGTCAACCCTCCGGGTGAGTGTCGGGCGCGGACCGGGGAGGCGTCACCCTTCGCCCGGCCCCGGGGGTCGCAGGCCGGCGCCTGCTCCGAACCCAGGCCGGGCCGGGCCCCGCGGCCCCGACAGCACCTTAGCAGCCCGCTCCTCGCGCCTCCTCCCGGGCCCGGATGGCCAAGGGTCCCGCGTGTTGAACGCAGGGAAAAGTTTGGGGCCGGCTCAACAGGGTGGGATCGGGCTCTCCCCGCGCGGGTCCCCTGCTCCCGCCCCGCTGTCACCTCTGTCCTGGGGAGCAGGAGCATCCCATCCCGCTCTGTCTACCCATTGCCCGCGCTCTCGGTCCACCTGTCCCAAGGGGGCCCATTGGGCAGATTTTTGAAAATGGAAATTGATACTCAAGTGGGAGAATGCTTACCTGCTTTGCAAGTGTGGCCGGAAATTCTCTTTAGTTGGGAAAGTTCCCTGTCGTGGGCATGGCTGTTGCAGGGTGTCCGAATGGGACGCGGGACTGCGACTAGGCTTGGGGTTGCATTTGACTGCTGTGGACAGGACGTTTTGCTGAGTTCTTGCAGGGGTGAGGAGGGACAATCCAGAGGGCTGCCAGCTGGAACGTCCCAGTAAGGGAGAGAGGCCCAGTGTCCAGGGGGAGGCAGTAGATGAGCAGCCGCGAGCCCAGCAGAGGAAAGTGTCATCGGAAGCGAGGAGGGGAAGCATCCCTTGCGTCTGAGTGGCCATGGGATGCTTTGGGGCTGGACGCTGTAGTGGGTGCTCACAGAACCAGAAAGGTTGAATACAAAGAGCCAGGCACGAGGGCAACTGCAGTCTAAGCCACCTGTGCTGGCTGCAAGCACGGATGGAGGTCTGAGCATGGTTGGTGCCCTTGCAGTGAAAGAGGGAACCTGGGAACCTCATAGCTGAGTTACGTGGATAAGCCAGGGCTTGAAGGACGAGATAAGGACTGTGGACTTTCTCACTCAACGTTTTGAGAGTCCTTAGTGGTACTGAAGAGGGAAGTCACACCATCCCTGCCTTTCTGGAAGGTTAGTTTGTCAGCTGCGCCTAGGTAGCATGGAAAGAGGGAAGGCGGGAGTGGAGGCAGAGGGAAAGGTTGCACAGGGCAGGGGTGGAAGTCAGACTTGTGCAGTGGCTGGATTGTGGGGAGTTCCGACCTGTCGCTGGTTAGATTTGGGGTATGGGTGCTTCTCTTCTGAAGCAATTTCAGCCCATCTGACTTCTTAGAAATCAATAGAAAATAGATGGACTAAAATGTGATGAATTAGAAAAAGGAAAAGACAATAAATGAAGATAGTTGAGCCCCATACAGGTTTATATTGGATAAAGGAATACAGTCTGAGGTGCTTTACACACTCCAGTGTCATGGTCAGTGCTGAACACTGTTTTGTCTGTTATGTTGTTCCCTGGGCTGTGAAGTAAAGATGAGGTAGCTGTAGGGTGGCACTGAGCCCACTGATGCCTGTGCCCGGGTTCAAGGGACCCATAGGTGCAGCACAGGGATCCTTGCTGGTTGGTAACACCTGGCCAGCTTGGCATATGATATCTGGATCTTCACCAGAGATCTTGAGCGTGATAGATTTTTTTTCCAAATTCCTTGAGATGAAGCTTTTGAGTTATGCATCATCATGATTTCCTTCCCTGGTCCCCTGTGGTCCTGTGTGCATGTATGGGGTGTTGTGCGTGCCCCCCAAGAGTCCTTGACTTCTTTGGGAGAAAGTTTATTCTTAAGGGATATGGCTAAAGATCTGACCAAAGAAGGCGTCCTGATTCTGTGAGCAGGTGACAGCCACAGGAGGTGCAGCGGCCAAGGCAGCTGCCCACCCGCAGGAGCACAGCTTGCACGGCATTTCTTTGCACTCCTCTTCACCTAATCCCTGGCTTCTCCTGCATGCTGTCGCTTTGCACAGAATGAGAGCTTGGTAAACACCACCAAGAGGACTGGAGCCACCAGCAGTCACTTCTGTCACTCTCTGGGCTCAGGTGCAAAGTCCACCTTCCCCACCCCACCCCCCTCTTTCCATGGCCCACTGCAAGGCGTGGTAAAGGCAGGGAAGGCCTTGGGACTGCAGGTGAGGTGGGGGTGTCCACACCCTCATGTCACTCAACATGAGTTAGGTTCTGACCCAGACTGTCCCCTCTAGGTGTCCTGTTTGAGATTAAAGTTAGAATTCTATAGGTATTCCAATGCAGGAGAGGTCTCTAGAGAAAGAAGAGTTTGGCTCCTGAGTGTTTTTCTAGGAGTTCCTGTCCCTGCAGTCCTGGGTGTAGTTCCTGTGTCTGCGGCTCTGACCCCTTCTGCTGCCAGGTTCTTGAATTGATCACCAATGCTGTTACACTGTGCGACTTTCTTTATTCTGTCTGATCAGCAAAGACATTCATCCTCAAAACTAGAGGATAGAGTTTTAGAGTTGTTTTGTCTCAGTACCTTTTTGGATAGTATTTAAGCATGTCTGATGTGTACACAACAGTGGAGGCTGCATTAGTTGTGTGTACCCAAGTGTGTGTAGCTGATGTGTCCAATTTAAAGGGACTGTTTCCCAGCCATGGTTTCATCCTAATATTTTGTGATTTAAGCATGGAGTCAGGTACAAATTCAGAGCAGCAGTCATTAGGCATTATCATCATCATCTGTACATTCCCTGAAGTGAGTATTGGCAGAATAATTAATAAGGCTTACACATTTTAAATAAATAAAAAATATATTTTAAGAAATTTAGAATTCAGATTTTTTTTTTTTTCAAATTGGTTGTTATGCTTTTTTCCCTCCTCTAGATTTCCGGCCTTTGGCATTTTAGTTGGGACTTTGATTCTATAGACAGGGAAATTCTTTGGGCAGATGATTTTAGGTGAAGAGAAGTTTGCCGTGGTTCAGCATCATATCGCTTATCTTTGATGTGCTGAGCCTTCTGTAGTTTAGAGAGTAACATGAAGAAGAGCACAAATGCTCTTGGACCTCAGGGGCTTCGGAGTCTAATAGAGGAGGCCTGAGGAGCCTAACTAAGAAAAAGGTGGAATGAAATGAATGTTGTCTAGGGTGGAAACAGTGCCACAAGAGGGACCCCAGAGGTAGCTTCTAAGACTGGGTCTTTTGAAGAGAGACATTTTGAACTATAATAACTTTAGGAAGGGTACGTTGGGTGGGGAGGGGCGCATTTGTGAAGTAAGGGTTTCTGCCATGCGATGGTCTCCTTGGTGCTCTTGGGGACCCAGCTGGGTACCCAGGATGTGGTGCAGATTTGGAGCTTCAGAGCGATGTGCGCTTGTGTACGTGGAGCACCTAAACCAGCTTGATGTGGAATTCAGCCTCATGTCTTGTGATTACTAATTGTGATGTGTCAGTCAAACTGGAGTAAGAGCTGCTGATGAGCAGAGCTCTGACTCTAGCTGTTAATGGTTGACGTTTAGGCTCCGAGGGAGGTCTCCTCCTCACCATGGCGGCACAGAGAAGTCGGCTTGTACCCCGATAGAATAAAAAGGGAAGGAAGGGGAAGTCTGCTGTTTTTCTTCAGAGGGGCTCCAGGCTTCACCATTGCCTTTGGACGTTGGTTTCCAGTTGCCTTAGGCTTCCTGTGCAGAGTCTTCAGCCTTCCAATGCAGACCCTGCAGGTTTCAGACAACAGACTCAGAGAGTCTGCAGTGAGCTGCGGGCCTTTGACCTTCGGCTGGATCCTGGAGCTAGTGTGTCGAGAGTTTAAGCTGAATTCCTTGTGTAGCTGGTCTGGGTGTCCCAGTACCTGAGGCTGCCAGATCAGAGGTGGAAGAATGCTGAATGGCCTTCTATGCAGTGGAGTGCCTGGGGGTCCCGTAAACCTACGTAGTAAATCCTTTGTATGACAACACAAACATTTTATATTAAATCTGTTCCTCTAGTGAGCCCTAACGGACTTCTCCTGTCCTTCATGGACTCTACAAACTCATCTATTGCAAAATGCATCACTGTTTATGTACTTCTCAGTGAAAAACAGCTCCAATTCAATGCTGACATACTGTCTATTGTGAAACATTCCTCAGTTTTAGTGATGTTATAAAATATGAGTCTTGGACTCAGTAGTTAACACTGGCACTTGACTTTACTGCCTGACCACCTACTTGCATCTGCAATTCATGGTCTCAAGAGGAAGGAAATGGGGAGGAGGAGGGAAGAGGGTGTAAGGAGGGAATGGGGGATAGACATGATCAAAATAGATTATAGGCAGTAAGACCTAATACTCTGTCAAATTAATAAACACTAAGAAAATATACTGAGAAAACACGTGGTCTCCTTCTAAGTAAAGAAAACTACAAAGTGTGCCCTATAGGCATGTGTCAGGGGATCCAGTAATGAGCTGATGGGCCTTGGGCTGCCATCAAGAGAGGAGGAGGACGAAGAAAGAGAAGAGAGAATGGAAAGGGGTGAACAAGGGGGAGGGGACCAATAGGAGGAAGAGAAGTAGGAGGAGAAGGGGGAGAGAAGAAAAGAGAAATGATATCTGAAAAAAGGTTTATTAATCCTTTCTCTCTGTATGTAATGTTGCTTCTTGAGAAAGCTTTATTTTTAGAGTAGTTTAGGTTCACAGGGAGTGAGTACAAGGCCCAGCTTGCCCATGTACCCCCGAGCGTACACAGCCTCCCTCCCTACCACCCTGCCCACCAGAGGGCCCCGCTTGTTACATATGCTAAACCTGCATTGAGTCTTCCTGTGCCAAAATCCGTAGGTCCCTTTAGGGTCACTCTTGGTGTTGTGCATTCTGTGGGTTTGGGCACGTGTATGGGGATGGTGGCCCCCATCTTAGCATTGTACACGATACAGTGCTGTGTGTTTATCTCTCCCTTCCCCAGCCCTTGGCAACTACAGGTCCTTTTACTGTTCTCGTGGTTTTGCCTTTCCTGGGACATCCTAGAGCTGGGTCTGCTGTGGTTGGATCGGGTTTGAGCATGTCCACCAGATGTCCCCAGTGTGCTGATGCGGAGAAGAGTGGCTCCTCTGAGGCAAGGTCTGCTGATGGGAGGTCACCAGATCTTTAT